ATCAGGTCTGATTTTTTTCCGCTGCCTTTAAAGGCTTTAACGATGAACCGATTGCACGCCGGGTTCGCGCTATGCCGGCGGATTTTTTTCTGCTCACCAATCGCCTCGAGCTCCTATGCAACCCGCGACGAGCTGAACCTGGGTACAGCAGAAGTTTTCTAGAAACTGATCCTGTATAGAGCTCTGTTTTTAATGCCTGTTTATAAACATGTTTATAAACACGTGTTTATAAACCGGTTTTTATATGGTTGGGCCAGGACCCTCGGTTTTTAATTCACTGTGGCTGTGCCTTGGAGGGCTTCAAGGGCCAAATTTTGACTCAAAGCAGGGCACCAGCTGGACTAAATATATTTCCCTGAGTGTTGCCTGACCTCGGGTGAACAGGCTGACCTGAAACCGTTTGGAAATATGACCCCAAATAACCGAGGCTCGGTGTCTGTTGGCCTCAGTGACGTTATTCTGGTTTGAAGACGCGAATGGGTGGGATTATTCAACTCAATTTCAACCACTGGGGCACCAAGAACCGCAGAAACTTGCGAGAAACCCCTCAAAACCCAGTTTTGGGGCACATTTAAGTGAGTGTTTATAAACCGGTTTATAAACACGCTGTTTAAAGACACAGAATAAGAAACTGTTTATAATCCGCTCAGGATTATAAACAGAGCCCTAATCCTGTATCATCACGCAACTTGCGAGATCTGTACAGGCGGCATTTCCTGGTATTTCTTTTTCTGACTATCCACTGTTGCAAATGGCTTAGTTTTTTTTTCGATAGCAGACATGGCCGAGGCGTCGTGAAGTTGTCTCAGCTCTACTTCGTCACGATCGGGATTAAAATGGAGCAGCGTCCGGGTAAACCAAGCTCTCAAATTGTACTGATCCACGCGTCCCTGAGTTTTCACCCGCCAACCAGCTTTGCAAGCATTTGCAGCCGAAGGTTCACTGTGGTCGCAATTCGCGAACGCGCACACGTGGTCAATATTGGTACAGCACCACATGGACCCACACGGTCTTTCTATTGTCTCCCATCATCGCACTCGAGATTCTCGAGTGAGTCGAGAACGTCATTATAATTATCCGCCGGCAAATAGCATGCCTCTCCTCTCTGAGTTCACGCCTGTTCAGGTAGAAATCTCCTTGCGCGTTTGTCCCGGTGGCAGATTGAAATTCTCGCCTTGACCCAGTTCCCGGACTCTCAGCCCACGGCGCTCAATAATTTTCTGCATAGAAATGGCATGCCGATGATCACAGACCCTGATATTCCAGGCCGGCGGTGTTTCCCCCGACCAACGTGCCGCTGAGGGCAGGAAGTCTGTGGAGCAGGCGGCCAGTGATCTCGCCAGCAACCCTTTAACCCATACGGGCGTGAGTTCACACACGTTCGCAAGTACTCACCGAACGGAACAGAAGAATGATTTATGATTAATTCCGTTTTCTTGATCGACATCCCCAGTTGAAATTCTCCATAGCCGACACAAAAACATCCGAACTTCGAGGTCTCAACTTTGAACTCTCCACGGCGGCTGACATTAGAGACGTTGCGCAAAGCTGCATGCGGCTTTTTTGGTGCACAAACTCATCACATGCAGCTTTTTTTTTTCTTTGCTCTGGTGGTCAAAGAGGCTATTTGAGAGTCTCAGTGATGCTCCGGAGCAAAAAAAAGGATATTCCCACGTGCGGCTTTGAAAGCCGCATGCGGCTTTTGCGCAATGTCCCTATTGTTTCATTATTAGATGGTACTCTTGTGCTCAACCTTCGTTACTTACTCCAAGCCAACAGAGTTGAGGTTGAACTCACTGATCTCTCCATCCAAATAAATTTTCATTGAAACGCGGTGCTTCACATGACCCGGCGGGGTGCCAACGCCGCTACTGTTCGCGACGCGCGTGTGCGGATCAGCAACGCGATCTAACGTCGACGAGTCGCTGCAAATTATCTGTGATCTCCTGAGGCTTCTGCCTCTGGGGTCGCCAAGCGCTAAACCGCGGTAACCAAGGTTTCTGTCAGCTCTCCGAAAACCAAAAGCGCAGCGGTCGAATCACGATCGGATCAAAATGACGCAAGACTTACGCACTCGCCTCCGCTTTCGAGCCACGGGATCGTTGAAGAGAACCACCGCCATGCAGTCCCGGGTATCTGCTGACCCCTCCAAATTCTCGGCGGCGCGTCAGCCCCACACATATAAGGCACTGTCCAAAATATCGTCTCACGGAATTAACCATGAAGCTGAACAGCACCAGCATCGCGTTCATCTTCTCACAGACCCTCTTAGTTGCGTGCGCGCAGACTCCCCTTCCGAAAAACGGGGGAATCAATGACGTCCGGCCGACGTACGACAATCCCAAGGACGCGGTGTACAAGGCGATTGAGCCGAAGCTGAAGACACGCTGGACAGACGGCGTCGCAGCCGATCCCGACGGCGCGTGGGCGGAATACCCGCGCCCTCAGTTGAAACGCGATACATGGCTCAATTTAAATGGGGTCTGGGAGTTCCAGTTCGCCAATAATTCTGGGGATGTGAACAATGTTCCTGTTAACACGACGCTGAACCAGCGCGTATTGGTACCGTTCTGTATCGAGTGCGTATCTATCAACATTTTTAACTTGCTTTCATTTTGACGCGTTACACGGTAGGAGTGGACTCTCTGGTATAGCACAGCAGTCGACGTTCAGCTGGTACCGTCGCGGATTCGAGATCCCCGAGTCCTTTACGGACAATGTCGTGCTGCACTTTGCCGCAGTCGACTACCAGGCGACGGTCTTTGTCAATGGTGTGAAGGTCGGAACCCACACGGGCGGGTACGACAAGTTCGCGTTCGACATCACAGCGCACATAACCAAAAATGCGACTAACGAGCTTATCCTGTTCGTTTTCGACCCCACCGACGACCCGGCCGGGAATATACCCATTGGCAAGCAGCGCCGCGTCCCATCTCATATTTTTTACACCGTAAGCATGCTACGTCTTTCGAGATGACTTTCTGACGAAAAAGAAACATGGTAGCCATGCACAGGCATCTGGCAAACCGTCTCGCTCGAGGCGGTGCCCAGTGCCGAGTATATCACGGACATCACGCTCCGCGCCGCCGCCGACGGTTCTGTCAACACTACCGTCACGACTTCAACCAACTCTTCCTCCCCTGTGTCCATCGCGATCCTTGACCCCGCGGATAATTCCAAAACCCTCTTCACAGCGAACGGAACCGCCAACAGTGAATTCTCCTTTGTTGTGTCACCGACCCCGCAAGTGTGGAGCCCTGCGACGCCGAATCTGTATAATATCACGGTGACGGTGGGCGATGATCTCGTGCAGACGTACACCGGATTCCGGACCGTGGAGCGCAAGGAGGTGGACGGGGTACAACGATTCGTGTTGAATGGCGAGCCGCTGTTCCAGTTTGGCCCGCTTGACCAGGGATATTGGCCCGATGGATTGCATTCGGTGCGCGGCAGTCCTTCAACTTATTTTTAAGACAGTTGAAACCTCTTATTTTGACAGCCCCCGTCTTATGATGGGATGATGTACGACCTGCAGTATCTCAAGAGCCTAGGGATGAACTTCCTGTACGCGTCTTCCTTCTCTTCTTGTACTGTGTATCTGACACCGCTCTTCCTGCAGGCGAAAACACATCAAAGTTGAACCTGACCTATTCTACCACGCGGCAGACACGCTCGGGTTGATTATTATGCAAGACATGCCCGCGCTCGACCTACGTGCCCCGACGCCGGACCAGCAAGCCGAGTGGGAGCGTCAGCTCAATGTGATGGTACGCGGCCACACGGGTTTCCCGAGTATCTTAACCTTCATGCTGTATAACGGTGCGTCCCTTTTATTTCAACGCTTGGTCATTAATATATTTACGACGTACTACCGCAGAGGGCTGGGGTCAGCTCTCCAATGGCCCGGAGATCGAGCTTACACCGCGCATCGCGGAGATCCTCGCTGGCCACCAACTGATCAACTCCGTCTCTGGGTGGAACGACTGGGGGCAGCAGTTGTTCAATATCAGCGTTGGAGACTACCACGACAACCACCACTACTCGAGCCCGCAGTGTGGCGCGCCGTTTTATAGTATTGCGAGCACGCCGAACGACCCGAACCGTATTGGGTTCCAGGGTGAGTTTGGCGGTGTGGGGGTCAACACGACTATGTGAGTTTGGACTTTCTCTGCGGGGGAAGAGGAGGACTGATTGAGCTGCGCAGCGACCACTTGTGGAACGACCCCGTGGCGATTGCGAATATCAACCAAACCTACGAGATTGACGCTAATACCGATATCTGGAACTATCGGGCATTGAGAGTACGTCTTTCGCATCTCACCTGGACGTCGCATTCTAAGTAGCATATAGGTCATCGAGGAGCTGCGCGAGCAGACTGAGATGTTCAACTGCAACGGAGGAGTATACACGCAGACGACGGACGTCGAAGGAGAGGTTAACGGTTCGTCTTTCGGACAGAATGAATCGAACAAAATTATCGAAGGCTTATTGTTCTCAATAGGATTCTTGACCTACGATCGTGAAGTCGACCACGTCGACACGGAAAAGTGGAAGGCGGCCATACAAGCACTATACGACACCTTCAACAAGAAGGTCACGGGATCGCAGGATAAATTGTCGCGGAAAGACTTGATGATGTAGTGCGTCGTGTTCATCGTAAAGCAAAAAAATTTATCCCTGTAAAAACCTTTTCAAATACTTTACTCGGGAATAGCCCCAGGAAATTGATTCAGGATTGCTACGAACTTATACAATATGTGAGAGGAACATTATATCTGAGTGGAAGAAAAAGGAACAAGAGGAGAAATGGCGATGCAAAATTGGGCGAATGGCATGTTCCTGTTGCCTGAATGATTTCGTACACAGACGGCGGCGCTACAGAATGATATTCCCAAGCAATAGTTCAACCGCGCCAATGTATAAAAGCCAGCCTGGTTTATGGTTTGAGCCATGGCTTCATATCTTTCGGGCCGACACGGAAAAACGCGGATCCTGGGCTACTCAGACGCGGGGAGTCGAACCCCGACGCTCGTTGTATATTCTCTACTGGCGGAATGTAAGGCGAGGGTGTCCCCACACCACGTCTGACTTAAGCAGGGATATCTGCGATAGAGTGCGAGCATACGAAAGTGGGAGTAAGTAAAAAGAAAAGCTCAGATGCAGGGAGTTGGTTAAACTCCGAACGCTGCCCGCTGCATTGCTGTGTTCCCAATCGAGGTAGTGTGGAGGTGTATAATCTATCGCATGCGATTGAATCGCATCTAAGGTATCAGTATCACAGTACGGAAAGTAGGAGCCAACCAGAAAAAAGAGATATGGATAGAGAACTACTCGGACGTGAGGAATCGAACCCCGGATGCTCGGTGCATTCGAAAACTATGCATGATGTAAAGCGAGGGTGTACCATACACCACGTCTGATTCAACCATGTACATCTGCGGTAGGGTATTAGTACCAAATGCCCACAAAATTTAGGAGCGGACAGAAAAAAGAATGGGACTAGTTGAGCCTGGACACTCGCCAAGATTCCTTCCCTCCCAAGAAAGCGAGAGTGTTATTTGAAGCATATGTACAGGTTACAAGGTGCCAGCACCACTTTCCGACGAAACTCCAAAAAGCGATGGAACGGATCTGCGGACTTGAACCCCGGATGCTCGCTGATAACAAAGAAAATGTAAAGCTATGTGAAGCGAGGGTGTGCCGTACACCACGTTCGATTGGAGTACACATATGTACTACACAGCGTCAGCAGTCTATCCGGGAAACAGTAAAAAAGTAAAAGAAACAGGAAAAATAGCTTAGAGTCACCGATGCATGGCACAGTCGGACACGGGGAGCCGAACCCCGGATGCTCGTTGCATTTCTCGGTATGGGAGGCGGGGTGTGCGGTACTGTAAACCAGGTCCGATTGGGGGACATCTACGACGGAGTGTCAGCTGGGAGCAAACGTGAAATGAGGGGTGGGGGGATCAATGGTGGTATAAACCTCGATACGCTTGGAAGTAGAAAGATGCAGCGAACATTCCAAGCGTATCAAGAGCGAGTGGCACCATACGCAACGTCCAATTGGAGTCGACATGATGCATCTGCAAAGCCGTGTCAGCAAGGAGCAAACGTGAAAAGAGGCAGAAAAAACCCTATAGGGGTACCAAGCCATTTAGACGCGGGGGATCGAACCCCGAGCGCTCGCTACATTTCTTGACGTCGCTTGGGGAACAGAAGGCGAGGGTGTACCGTACACAACGTCCGATTGAAGGATACATCTGCGACAGAGTCAGCTGTGAGCGAACGTGGAAAGAATCGAAAAAAAGAAAAGCTGAAATCAAAGATTATTCAGACGCGAGGAGTCGAACCCCGGGCACACCAGGAGATGGAGATGGGAGGTATTCTAAGCGATACGTCCGAGCCGGATGTTAGAGTGATTTTGTAGGAAGATACCGGAAGTAATTTTCTTTTGAAAAAAAATGCAAAGAAGCTCCGAGAGAAAGAAGACAACGAAAAACGGAACGCTGCGACATGCTAGACGCCAGCCAGTAGCGCATCCGAGTGGCGTGTTGATGGGCCCAGATCCGGACTGGAAGCAAAAGACTGGGCACGCGAAATGGAAGCCGAAGACGCCCGCCCTAGGAGAGAGAGTGACCTGGCAGAAAGCACGCATTGAAGTACATCGATAGAAGAAAAGTTCGACGAAGGGTCGACGGCGATTCGACGGGATGAAACTTGAGGGCTACCTCGCGGCTCGGTACCGTGCGTTGGGTGCCTGAAGGCTTGATGCAGGAAAGGTACGTCAAAAGAAGGGGCATAATAGAAGGGCATAATAGAAACCCTTGGGAAGGATAATTTTTGCATTGCGGTCCGAGGCGGCAGTTTCTGTAGATCCGGTTCTAGCTACTTTTCGTGCCAATTTTTTTCGGTGGAGGTACACCGAGTGTGGGTCCAAGCCATATACAGTCACACGGCAGCAAGAATGGAGAGACCGTTAGCGAAGACAAAAAGCAGGATGTCGCGTGCAAGAGAGAACAAAGGCGCGTGCACAATGGTTCAGACTCCGCTGATCCCAACACTTCCCGATCTGGACTACAGTCGGCCGCGTTTTTGTCTCAACGCAATGGCTGTCGATATAAGAACGCGTGTGGCGCACGACTTGCCTTCCTGCTGCTCCGACCTTGTGTCTGGTTCTCTGTTGTCTCCCTTGTCGGTCTTGCTTGCCTGGAATCCGCCCTAGGACACTACCCTCGACATTGGGACCGAGGTGAGCTGTGAGCAACCTGAAGAGAAGAATGAAGAGAATTCTGACGACGGAACGGCAGTATCACCGGTATCACCCTGTATCCAGCGTCAGTCGCGCGTTGGGCGTCGGATTCATGAACAAATGGATTCAGCAGAAAAGCAAGAACAATCACAGAACCCACCGGATCTACCAGAAAAAACCGCGCATCTCTCTGAAAGCACTGTCAACGTAAAGGCGAAACGCCGTCAGGGCGTCTCTGACCTGCATATCCCCCCACTCGCGCTGTTCTCTCTCGGCACTCTGGGCAGTGCCGACCCGGACTGGCAATTCACGCACTGTGCAAGCGACTCGGAGTCTGGGGACGGCGAGGACGAGGTGTTTGAGTTTCCCCGGCCCCCGAAGTCTGGCTTGGAGGTGAGCGCGTTTTTCTCGCGCTACTCGCATTCGCCGCACTCGAGCGTCGATTCCACGTCCACATCGGGCAGCTGGCATTTACATTCGGAGTGCTCGAGCCCCACTTCGAGCGGCCCGCCCGCGACGCCGACTTCTTCTACGATCAGGCCGCTGAGCATCAAGAAGCGCAACACAGCGATGGGTCCTCTGCCCTCGCCGGGTCGTTTTGCGCCTGCTGGGCCTTCCCTACCTCGATCCGCAACTATATCTTCACCCCCACGCTCTTCGTCCTTACCACCACGCTCTCCCTCTCCACCCTCTTCCCCATCGACGCCATCGCCGTCGCCTCAACGCACAGTCGAATCGGAAGAGCAAGCCCCTGCTGATGATGAGTTTTATGCCGTCCAGGCGCGCGGATTCGTCACCCTCGCGCAATCGGAATCGGCACGCAAGTCCGGTGTAATTCCCATCTTTCCTTCTACATCGACATCGACATCCACCGCACACGGCGTGCCCGTGCGTCCTAGGCGCCCGCCGCCGCCGCCGCCCCTGGTTGATGCAGCGCTGTGCTCTTTCAGCCCTCCGGCAGCGTCTACGCCCTCATCCCACCTCCGCAACTCGCACGTCCACACGAACTCTGCATCGTATCCGCGCGCGCGCATAGCGACGTCGGATGCACATGCACGGCCACGTTCCAGCTCCACGTCCACATCCTCCTCCTACTCCTTCTACTCCACATCCTCCACCACCGGCCAAGCCGCTCTCTCCTCCGTGTGTTTCCCTTCGTCATACACAGCCCCAGCCCCACCAGCGGCTTCGAGGTCGCGCTCGCCTTCGGCCTCCCGACCGCGCACGGGCCTCGTCCCTAACTTTTCGCGCCCCACGTCGCTTGCGCTTGGGCTGCTCCTCGGGTCAGCCGAGCCGACCTCAGGTTCAGTGCCGCCTACGTGCTCGCCTCCGCCCCCCTGTCACGCGCCGTTCGAGTACCCGAATGAAGCCTTCCCACCGTTCGATGCGTTCGCGGGCGGGGAAAGCGACGGCAACGTCGACCTGGCCGACTTCGATTTTGCTGCCGACTACGTGGTGTACGCGCCGCTCCTGCGGACACCGACACCGAGTCCGGGTGTGGGCATGGGCTACGGTATCGGTATCGGTATGTCGTTCTTCTGCTGCGCTGAATTGAGCTGAGCTGACGGTGTTTTTACAGGCGCTACAGCACCGTGGGGCGCTCATGTGCATGGCGACGATGAGAACGACTGCGTCGCGTACACCGAGGAGACTGGGTACATCGAAGGCGGCGGCGGCGAGCAGCAGCAGCAGGAGCTGTCGCCCCTTGTGGCACCCGCACCGTCGCCTGCGCCGCTATCCGAATCCGAGTCGGAGTATTCCCCAAACGAAGACGACAACGATGAGGAACATGTCGGGGACTGGCGCCCGCTTGCGTCTCCACCCGCATCCGGATCGGGCTCCTCTTGTTCCTCGTCATCTTATGGTGCCCCGTCGCTCACCCCATCTCCTCAACTACCCCGCGTACCGGCCGAGCCCGCACACCCCAACCCCGCGCTCCGCTCGCGCTGGTCCTCCTCCACCATCTCTTCCCTCCATTCCACACACGGCCACGCACGCGCCCCGAAGACCTTCTCCTTCGGGCGCTACCTCCCCCGCGCGCGCCCTACCACCAAACCCAAGCCCAAGTCCGTTTCCCCTTTTGCACCGCGCCCCATGGGCAGCGTCACCGTCCTGCCCTCGCCGCCGCGGAGACTCCGCACGCCTGATTACGCGGAGAGCTCTCGATCGAGTTCGGGGTCGGTGTCGGCTGGGTGGTCGTACGCTGCTGCAATCGCGCAGCGGTCAGTGGCTTCGTCGCCCCCATCTGCAGCAGGGCACCACTCGGCGCAGAGCTCGGTGTCTGGACACTCTGCGCGCGGTTCCGTGTCAGTGCGTTAGAGAGGCCGTGGAATGGTCTGAAGCAGCAAATTCCAGCAACCACATCCCGCTTTCGTTCAACCTTTGAGCTTCTTGATTCGATTTTACTTTCACTTTACTTTCCATCGTCTTGATATTGACACTCTTTGAATCAATCCCATCCTCTTTTCGCTTCGTATTGTATCTTGCTCACCTACATTCATTCTTGTTGTCTCGCGCAATAAGCACGCTAGACACCCTCTGTAAACTAGAACGTACTACCACTTTGTAGCCATAGCTGATCTATTCATTTCGATTTTTTCGAGCTGAGAGCGGCTGGGTTGATGGCATCACTGACGCTCGATGGGCGCTTACTGAGTCTTCCTTTGAGTCTCTCAGACAGCTGTTTCTACCGGATTCCCACAATTCCGAGCGTTTGGCCTGGGCCCTTGATAGCCAAGTTACCTCCTTCACGTTATCTGGCTTTCTCTCCCGGGCTCCGACTTCCCAGAATCGCAGTCGCTTTGGTGAAACGACAATATCGATTATTGACGCACGT